CTGAACAGCAGAACAGGAAAAGCAGCACACAAGCCGCGTGTTTGCTGTCCGTGCCACGTGCTCAGCAGATGAGACAAAACTTTGTCACGCTGCGTGTGGCACTATATCTTCTGAAGCTATTCCCTGCTCCATCACCCCCGAGGAGATCCAGCTTTGTCCGAGCCACACAAAACCTTTGCTTTGATATTTCACAATAAAAAGCACAAAACCACCTTTCCACCGCTGTTGTGATCTCCACCAGCCCTCTGCCAGGGAGGCAGCTCCCCGTTGGAGGAATCAACAGCGGTACAGCTCCGGTGGGGCATCGCCGCCGTCGCCCAGCGCTGGCTCCAGCCCGACTCCCACCGAGGACGATCCCGGTGACTCCCTGACCTGGAGGGAGACGCCGCAAGACCCGGAGGACCATCCTCCGGGAGGGGAGATAAGGACAACACTAACCAGGATCTCTGCCTGCCTGATGAGTGCATTACTCAGAGGTCTTAAAAAACACCCATAGGGTTAACTTTTTGAAAGGGTTCTTTTTCCCAGAAATCCTGAATCGGCCCCAGCTGTGCAGCAGCACTGGAGTGCCAGCCCTGTGCCACCTGATGAGAGGAGAGGGCAGGGGAGGCCACCAGTGCCCCCGGGCATCATCATCATCGGTGCCCCCGGCAGAGCTACGCACGAGCAGGGAGAGCTTTCCCCACGGGCTCCACAGGAATTCCCTGGCAGAAGAAAGGTGACGTGGTTCAGGAAGTTCAGAATGAAGAAACTGCCAACTTTTAATACTGTTAAAGCAGTTTCCTTTGAAAAATGTGGTTTAAACATTTATTATGAAGTTCTGTGGTTCTAAATTAGATTACAGTTACTCTAAGACACTAAATAAAATGAAAACAAAACCCAAACCCTAGCAAGCAGAACTGCAGGTGAAATGCAAGCTCCAAAGTTTAGTGTTTGGCAGCTTTGGCTCTCTGACACTGTGACAATTTACACAGATTAAAGCATTTCAGAATCCCTTTCATTCACGGGCTACTTTAAAGCTAAACTTAAAAAAAAACTTTTAAAAAAGTTTTCTCTAGCTTTCATTATACTGACTCTTTGGTAGACAAGAGCGAACCCAAGTGAAAACTGTTCCAAAGGCATTTGCTATGGGCTGTGCTGGAACTGCAGACCCCCAACGCCGCTCCCCAAAGCGGCAGTTCCCACAGGAGGGGACACGGTTCCCCCCAGCTGCCTCGGGGTGCCTGCGACAAGCCAAGATGTGACTGGTGTTTGCTTACACATAAGTCTCATTGGCATTTCTTCCCTTTTTCCCTCTTACGTTGGATTAAACTGCATTTAAAGAAACTTACTTCTCACATTGCTTTTAAGATACTAGCAATGGCTTCTGAAACCACATCAAAAATCTGTAACATAGGCAACAAAATGACAGAAAAAAAAATAATGTCACAATGACTGGAAGGAAAATACAGCCTTTATTTTCTATACTGTGAAAGATAGTGCAAATACCTATTTAAACAAAAAATTAGCCGCATTAGGCACTGTCTGTGGGTGGAGCGTGACCGCAGCCGTGTGAACCGCCGGCAGTATGGGCAGTCCCTGTCACAGCGCAGCACGCGATGGCAGCGGGATGCTGCAGCCACTGGCAGCCAGGCGGCAAAACCAGCACTGACTGCTTCATGATTTGGGAGCGTTATGTTATCTAATTCCCAATGATATATTAAGGAATAGCTTGGGGGGGTGTGGGGGGAAGTAGCTGGTTTGTTTTTTAGATGAAAGAAAGGTGTGAAGAATCCAATGTTAAACTGGCTTGAAAGCCCTTTGCTATCTGACTTGCTGAAAGTGAATTAAGAACTTGGAGAACTTAGATTTCTGGTTCATTTCAAGCAAAATTGGAAGAAATTTCAAACTAATTTGCATCTATATTTTCAGTTTCATGTGCACTGCTCTTGAGCATATTCTATTTAGACACCTAAAAAATAAAGAGCTGACACTGTGATAAAAAAAAAAAAAGCATTTGTCTGAATTTCAGGCCACAATTCTTCGAACAGGCGTAAACAAACCTGTAATTGTACTGATGTAGCTGATCAGAACGCTTGATCTGGAAGATAACTGAATTAACAACGGGCCTACATTTATTAATCTGATTGGAACGTTTTAGTAAAGCAAACGCTCCCATGGCTGTCACCAGCACTGTGGTATCGGTCGCTGAGAAAAAGGAAAGGGCGTTGGGAAATGTGCAGCACTGACATCAGGGCTGCGGGTTTTGTGCACGCTCAGCGTTTCCCACGGGTCATTTCCCCAGCCCGGTCTGCAGGTGGGTGCCCTGCCTGCGCCGCAGAGAGCCACCGCCACCTCCGCTCCTTCAGAAGCGGACCCAGCAGCCGGGACGGGACCCGACTTGCCACACAGTCTCCCCACCGCCTCATCGCACAGCAATAGAAGGGATTGAGCAATGAAACCAACTTCTGCCTCACATCTTATCTGAAGGTGAAAAACAGATGAAACTCAAAGCAGGTGCAATCGATCCCCGCTTGCAAGGTGTAACATCTGGCATGCAGGGCTTGGTGGTGAAATCACACCATCTAACCCTGCCTGGGTTGCTTTTTGTAATTTTCTTTAAACTATATCTAAATGAACTGTTTAATCATCTTCTACATATAACCTACTTTTTCAGAAGTTAGAAGAAAAGAGAACACAGCCTGGACCTTAGTGACAGCCCTCGATAGGGACTGCCGCCCTGCTTCCGAGTCACCTCCGCGCCGGCGGGGCCGGGCGATGCTGGCAGCGCTGCCCAGCGCCATGGTCGGGGTTGAGAGGAAGAGACGGGGCAGGAGCTGGCAGGCTGCGCCGAAGGGAAGCGCAGGTCCTTGTCATCAGCTCCGTGAAGACAAATACGTACACATGCCAAAACGGCCTATTTTTATCTGCAGTATTACACAGCTTACATAAATATTTCTCAGCTGTTGTATTTTCCCGGAGGATTAGCATCTTGAAAAAATAAATATATAGGTCAAAGTGAGTCCTGCTGTAATTCCACTGAGCCTGTGAAACTCCCCCGCGTTGGGAGGAATTCCCTCAGCTCCAGGACTGAGCCTTTTCAACGCGCTCAGAGTGTTTTTCCACAAGCAGACATTTCACACTGCGCAAAACCACTGGTCTACTGCCTGTGGTTTCAAGGCTATTACCATACAAACCCGAAAGGAAATCATACCCTCATCTGAAACGTCTCATTGTCCCCAGTCCGCGATTATGGCATGTTACAGGGTAAGAGGAAAACCAACCACTTTGGGGTTCTGTGTTCCTCGTGCTTTGGGAAGCATCTTCCACAGCCACTTTCTCCGTCTGCCGTAAGGGGAGCACAGCAGCAAGGACAAAAACAACCCCAAACCCACGTCTGAGGCCGGCAGCGGTGCGTTGGCAGGCAGAGCCTGGTGTGGATGCCGGCAGCCGACCGACCGGAGCGGGCGGTAGCGCAGGGGGAGGCACTGTGCCGGCGGCCGAGGGGGCTGTGAGGGGCTCGAATCCCCTTCTTACTGCCGTCGAGCAGCCAGGCCAAGGACGGGGGAAGCTTTGGGAGGATCTCGCACAGCTGCAGCCAGGGACAAGGTCAACTAGGAAGCGAGATGTATTGCATTTTATACTTTCTTCACACATTCCAGCTTAGACTGTGCTTCCCGAAAACGCAGGCAGAATTTTGTGCTTAAGCACCGCAGAGTGGCCGGGTTGTTCTTAGAGGCCATTCCCCCCTCAGACAGCAAGTAGAGGTGAGGCATTACAGCACGAACACGCCAACAGAGACATTCCCGGCCTCCCTTCTGCAACGGGAGGGGTACGACGGGGCCCGAAGGGACTGTTCAGCACGCCGGGGATGGGCACACCAGCGGAACCACACGCGGCTGCAACTCCCCCGGGTAACCCAGGGCGGCACCGGACCCCCGCCGGCCCCGGGAGCCCCCCAGCACTCACTGCCCTGCCCAGCAGAAACTCGGAAAACAGCCCGTGACTGCCACAGGTTTTATTCAAACCATTAAGTCGTCCAGGCAAGGAAACCTGAAATCGGACAAAATCTTGCACAATTTGGCTCAGAAGCAGGAGGGCTCCCCAGGACCTGTTCAAGCAAAGACAACAGAGGCGGGTAGAGATTTCCCATTTCATGGCACGTCTTTTTGGGAGCACGGAGAGGACCCTCCTGCTCGGGAGCATCTGACAGTGGTGGTATTATTTCCCTTTTCTCAACCCAACATCAGGGAGTCAGAAAGACTAAAATCTTCGCAAACTGAGACCTACCATTAAGTGATTATAAGTTGTTACCCTGTAATCAGATGACTGTTCAGAGCGTGTTTAGGACACTTTAGAGCCATCTCAAATCTAATTTGCACCATCACAGCTGCAGGGAGGGCGTCTTCCCCAGAGTCCCTTGGGATGACAGTTCTGTGGGAGGTTGAAGCACGGTTACAACCCACGCTTGCCCTGGACCACTCCTGCAGGTGGACAGGCGGCCAACACAATGGCCACGAAAGACACCAGCTCCATGTCAGAGTGAAAACACACAATCCCCCGACACCGAAAGAGAACTCTTCTGCTTGCGGAGCGCTGCCGCGCTGGAGGCTGTGGGTCTGACCGAGCACAACAGGAGGTGCTCCTGGGGACGGGAGGTGCGCTGCACAGCCCCTCCTCGCGGGCTGCCCCGGGGTGGGGGGGGAAGAAGCACGGCAGCACACCAAAACTGCACAATACAGTTTCTTTCTCACCCTTTTTTCATCTCCCGCCACTCAGACCTCAAACCACAAGATCAAAACAGACAAGGAAGCAGCAAAGTGTCCGTGAGTAAATGCACGCACAAAATCGCCCCCCTCCTCCTCCCGCTGCCGGCTGTACAGACCTAACACGAGGTGTCCCCCGCAAGCACGGCGGTGTGGCACAGGGATGGCTCTGGAGGTGGGCTCTGCCTCTCAGATACTGTCCAGGAATGTGATGTGTAGGAGACACCCCCAAAAAACACACACCCTTGTCTCTACCAGAAAAATCTTAAAAGAGGTGGCTGCCACAGACGTCTGATCATCATATCCACCGTGTTCTAACTGAAACGACAGAAAAGGCAAAATCCCAAACTGATGCCCTTTGGGGCAAACAGCCCAGGCGTTCGTGCCTGCAGCGGACAAACCTCTCTGCAGCATCGCTCAAGCAAAACTGCAAATCTCTTTCTGCTGGCTGCTCAGACCCTGCTTTCAATGTATTGTATGGTGGAGAAAAAAGCAGTCTCAAAATGTTTGTGGCCGCCCAGAAAGATGTCTGCAACACTCAGCCCTCCTCCTCCCCCCCAAATCTCCATCTTTGACCTTGTTTTTAGATTTTGGTTATGCTGCTGCAGCCGCCATCGCATACCAAGTGTAGGCTGGATTAAAAAAAAAGCTCCCGGTTTAATATACTTAAGAGGTGGGAACTACAGCCCTATTATTTATGCACAGTGTGCAGCCTCACAGATTGTTTACATACAACTGCATAACATGACTGAAATGATGCAGAAGCCAGGGATGTAGCATATATATATATATAAAAATAGCATGGAAAGACATAAGGACTGCGCTGTCAGTATATATTGCCATATAACTACAGACAAGGTATAATACCACTGCCTTTCCAGTCTGCGGCATATGGCTCTGTGCTGCCTAGCTAGATACCAGGTTTTGGTAGGCAAGGTTATGGTGGTATTAGAAAAAAGAAAAGTTTATACAGAGAGCGCTTAATTTCTACATGATGTAGCGTTATTGCCCCTATAATTAGCTTTGTGTTGGTTTTAGGCTTATTCTGTTGGTAGATTTCTATGAAACCACAAAAATCAATAGTATTTAAGAAGTGCTCTAGTTTCCCCTTCTCTGACACCCAACACAACGCCTCTGAGGAAGCTCGATATTCAGGTTCTGAGAAACAGGAAAAATTCAAGGAACAGCACTTCAGCTGCAAGGGACTGTAAAGCAAAATAGATTTGTTTGCACTTATCTATCCATATTCACATTCCACATCACATTTCCAGTTACTCTGAGTGTCCTTTCATCAAGACTGCACAACTAAATATTTTCTAACTTTCTCTATAGTCATAGTTACAGCAAGTTCAATGCTTAATTTCAGATGCTACTGTCCTTCACTTCGTATACTACCATATATATATATATAATATATGTATGTATGATGAGTATATACTGCCATACGTCTATTAGCCATAGAGGCAACGAGAACGCCCTCTGCTCAGTGGGTCTCTCCCCCGGGCCAGCCCCGCACCAAGCCCAGCGCCACACTCACCATGTGCCCCACGGCCCTGAAGCTAGCCGTGATGAGCATCAGTTTCCAGGGCTCCTCCAGGTCCTCGGGCATGGGGGTGTAGATGTAGTAAGCCACGAGGGCCGAGGCGAGGAAGAGGCACAGCAGCTTGGCTCCCATCTCTACGGGCACAGCTCCTCACGAACTGTCCGGATTAAGCGCTCTCACTGACTCTTAACAGCGACGAGCCAGCACACGCATAGGGCAAAGTTAATCCCATGTTTTGTTTGGGTCCTGGCCAGGAGGTGATTTCTCATCGGATCACCCGGGCAGAGGTTACGCTGCTGTGCAGCTCTCCAGAAAGCGCATTTCTTCAGCAAGGCGTTCCACCGCTCCGAGCCGGCGCTTCAGCCCCGGACGAAACGCGGAGGCTCCTCCACCCCCATCTCCCCCTTTCCTGCCTTTGGCAACAGCCGCCGGCAGGAGGGCTCGGGAGGAAAGAGGCGGTTGAAAAATAAGGAACAGAATGTGGCCCGTGACCCGAGGGTGGCTGCAAAGTGACACTCAGAGGCAAAGAGATGTACGGAATATTCAGGAGCTATTTAGCTGCTGCTTCATCATGCAGCCGTCCAAGCACAGCCCAGCTCACAGAGACACCCAGCAGCACCGGACCTCAGCGGCGCGTAACCCACTGCCGTGGCTCGGGCAAGAACAAGCACCTCCTGCTTTGGCAGAGCGCACCCTTCACCCTGTACTGACACACCAAAGCAGTTGTGCAACAGTAGGTTTAGCAGAAAAAAATAATCTTTTACAGGGCTTCTGGTTAATATTTGAAAGATCAGATTTAATCACTAATATTCTCAGGATTAAGAGATTTCTATGCATCTCCCAGAGGTAATCGCTTCTGCACAGGGTGGACTCACGAACAGGTAACAATAATTGCACTAAGCAAGCACTACGAGCACAGGCACAGAAGGAGGGGTAAGGAGCGGCTGCAGCACCAAGAACCCTGCGTTAGAGAGAAACTGAAAAGGTAAAAAGCTCAGTTAAAATTGGAGCTCAGCTTCAGCTTCAGCTCTTTTGCTGAAGTTTTACCAGCTGCAAAGGAGCACCACCGCTTGTTCTTGCACACTGAGCAGCCCTCAGGGACGGAGCATCCTTTGGAGGACATGAGAGCAAGAAGCATCCCAGAAGACTGAGAGCTGAGCCGTGTGTCACCAGCCCAAACGCAGAGAAGGAGCAGGCCTTAGCCAACCTTTGAAGCATTTTCTTTGTTTCAGTTCTAGACACCTCCACAATATTCAAGTGGGGTTTTTTTTGTTTTTTTTGTTTTTTTTTTCTTTAAATCCAGCTGTGCTGTCCCTCCTCAGCCCGGGACGGGACACCCTGTTCTCCCTCCTCAGTCCTTCTGCAGCGCGGGTCAAAGCCTGACGTTCTTGACTCTTCTCCAACAAAAAGGAGAGCCAGGACACCTCCGTGGTCCCTGTGCCAGTCCCAGAGGCCAGTGCGGGCGCTGGGGGCCGGGTGAGCCCTGCCGGGGCGGTGGGGCTGCCGTGGCCCCGTGCCGCAGCCCGCCTCCCCCGCGGGCGCACACGCACCAACACACATGCACGCACGGGGCTGGGCACACAGGTCAGCAAACCCGCGTTCTCTTCCCTGCAGATCACATCAGCCCTTTCTCCGGGGCCGGCCGCGGCAAGAGGTGGGTGAAGGAGCCGGCACTCAGGCGGCAGGGCTCCCTCCGTCCCTGCCCGGGAGCCAGACGAGCTCTGGGCACAGTTCGCTCTGCCTGAGCACCGCGTGCCAGACCTGGAACTACCACAAAATGGGTCTTCAATTTTATTTTTTTTTTTTT